ATGTCTGACTGGCTGAGTGTCATTTAAACGCACTGTAGGCAGGGGACAGGTGAGGAACTGCACTGTAAAAAATATATATATATAAAGGAAATTGGTGAGGAGCCTCAGATTCTGGACATGCAGGGGCTACATTGCCAAATCAGCAACACTAACTATGCAATGTCCAAATGAAACATCTCACATTTTATGAGTTTAAACAGTTTGGTTAGGTTTAGGCACAAAAAGTACTTGTTTTAAGTTAAAATAAGCACGTAAAGTAACTTAAGTTAAGATAACGTCAGACTTGGGAGTAAGAACTAGCTGGAACCAATTCTGAACCAATGACGTCACCCATTGGTTTGTGGAATACCGTTTTGAAGTTTGGTATTATGGTCGTCGCCATGTTGTTTTTTCCAACTAGCTGCGGTGATACTGCGAGTTGAGCTGTGCACATTGGCTGCGTAGTTTTGACTGGTCAAAAACAGGAAACAATTGGATTGAATCTGGATCCATATCTGATCAGCACTGCCTAGTTTGACAATTTGATCTGAGTTTGGAGTTTTTCCATTTTTCAATATGTTCAAATAATGACATTCTGATTAATGTCTAATAAGAGTATGGTGTGATACAGTAAGGTCTAAAGACAAAAAAAGTTTTAGTGTTTCATTTTAGTGTGACTCAGACTGCCAGATATATAAACATCCAGATATATTTCTAGCTGATAATGCGCAAGACAAACTTTGCTTTTCATCTTTAAGAAGATTACCACAAAGACAATTTTATAAAAACAAATATCAGGCCAATTCTGTCAGATGTTAAAGAGTGCTTTGCTAGTGCTGTCCTGAGACGATAAACTTCATTATCAGCAGCCTGGCCCTCCCCTCTGTCTCCACTGTAAGACTGCGAGCAGACACCTGTCTTTGGTCGGGGCCGTTTCTATCTGAAGGAAGCAGTTTATCTGGAAGAAGAGCACCCTGCCACCCCGACAGATAACTCCTCCGCAGCTTATCCTCCTGCATATGCTACAGAGGACACAGCAATGTGTTATTTTTGGGGAAGAAACTTTTGGGATCAGGTCGTGATCCAGCAGCCAGTCCCTCCCTATTACCATGAATCAATGTGCAAACGAGTTGAGAATTAATCAAATGTGGCACGGAGTGATTATGTAATTACATTATCTCATCAAAAGATTAAATGATTAAGACCAGCCTCCTAATAGATTAAGAACTGGATCGTTTTATCATCCACGTGCTCTATTTAAAGAGCACTTTGATTAAATGTGTCGAGCGTGCATGATGTCATTTCACACACAGTACAGCAACACCTGTATGATACAGTGCAATATGAGCTCTCAGAGAGGACTCCATACAACTCTGAGGTCATTTTGAAGTCTACAGTATGAGGTACTGTGTTAGACTGCATGATGTCTGAAAATGACAGAGCTGCAACTAATGATTATTTTCATTAGGGATTAATGAGTCTTTTTAAAAATAAATTAATCCCTTACAAAGGCACTGACCCAAAAATAACATATCATATCCTATGATCCTAGTCTCTTCTGAAAGGGAACTCTTTAGACTTTAATAGTCAAGTTATATTAAACCATATTTATGGACGCCCAAACATGAAATTAGAGATGCGTGATAGATATCAGGGCTGATAAATTAACGGTCGATAATGCAGAATGCCGAAACGAATATATAATGAATGTATATTTGACTTTGAACTGCGCAACACAGCAGTTTAAACTTGAACTGTTTATATTATCCTTGTTTTTATTAAAAATGTCTTGACAATGTCCTTGTTAATATGTAATTGCAAACACATTATATCCACATTATAATCAGAGCAAAAAATATTGAATTTCATTTTCATTTATTTTAAATTATATTCTACGTTTTACAACACCAGTATGAGCAATAAATTGGCAAAACAGTTTTAAGAGACAATGTAACACTATAAGTGTAAAAATAACTAATATCCTTTGCTGTATTGGCAGACGACCACCCACCTAGAGCCGGAGGATCTGTCCTAGGTTTCTGCCTTTTAACAGGCAGTTTTTCCTTGCCCTTGTTGCCAAGTGCTTGCTCATGGTGGTACTGTTGGGTCTCTGTAATTAATGTTTTAAAGAGTTCGGTCTGTCCTGAGATAACTTCTGTTATGAATTGGCGCTATACAAATAAAATTGAATTAAATTGAATTGAATTGTATTACTGACTTAAATATCTTTTTGTTGAATTTTTGAAAGAATGTATTGCTACATTAAAATGGTATTAATTGATATTAATAATCCTATTTCTTTGTTTATTTATCTGCCCAAGTTAAATTCAAACAAAGGACAATAGATAAGGTGGTAGGTCCTATTAAAAGAATAAATAAAAATCAAACAGAGAAGAGCAGCACTTTTTTCCAATCTTTAGTATTTTTACTGAATGAATTACTGAATGAATTACTACTTTCAAATAAATAAATCCACTAATATTTTCCCCTACAATGCCTTTAATATTATTTCCCCAAACTTCTACAGTTGAATAGAAACCTTAACAAAAACAACAAAAGCAGTGTTTCTTTAATGGTTAATGTATATTGTGCTCAATCCCTATATTAGTGTACAGTGTAGCTACAGTGTACAGTCTGTATATGTGATCCCTGCAGGGTACCAACATCTGGATCTGGTGCAGCCTCGTGCTACAGTACACACACCTTTTAAAAGCCATTTCATATGCATCAGCTACGGATCAAATAACTCAGCTATCCCACATAAAGTGTAGTGACCTGCTAAACTATTTTGACCAAATGTTTAAAAAATAGTCCATGACGTTTTCTGCTAAATAAATGCCCTTTACTACACGCTCTACTATCAGTTTATATCACACACGCTGTGCTTCAGCCAGTTCAGACAGCTTTTACATTTGCTGTTAAATATACAGGAACAGATGTGTTTCACTTCCACGCTTTCTTTGAAGTAAATAGAACTGTATATTTGGCATGAGCAGTGATTGCCCCTATACTGTATGAGTGAAATTAGTTTTTTTCAATCCAAGAAGCACATTACCCCCACACTGTCTGATGGACACCACAAACACCTCATGCATTGGGATACAAAAAAAAATCCATGAATTTATAGTTTCTAAATCTTTCAAGCTTTTAAGCCTAAAATACATCTCTAGAGTAAATGCATCTGAAGGCTGGAGGCCAAAGAGAATTTATCGCCAAATCCAGATTCTCAAGCTCCTCTGGGAGAGCTGAAGCAGCGTGCAGTAAAACAGTGGCGAGGCCTTGTGCGCCGGGTGAGGGATAGTGGTGACTGGTATGAGGCTGCTGTGAGAGGATGTTCACCACGGGAGAAGTGTTTGACTCCCTGCTCCAGACAGACCCAGAGCTCACTATTTATGTTCCTGTTCAGATACCTGGGGACCGGCGAGTGTCTCCACTCCTTCCATACGCTCATGACATACAGCTTGGCTCAGAACGGAACAGAGAAAGGGAGCATTGTTCTGTGGGGACAATGTTGTACAGCTAAACATTGGGAAGACTGAGTAAATTAAATGATTTATTTTGGAACAAACTAGCAATATAATTAAGATTTATGAAGTGCTGCACAAGTCCACAAAAATGCTTTTTTGGCTCATTCTCACCACTTTCACTTTCACACCTCAACTAACAACTATTTTCATTATCGATAAATCTGTCGATCATTTTCTCCATTAATCAGTTAGTTCTTTGGTCCATAAAATGGTGAAAAATGTCGACCACTGTTTCCCAAAGCCCAAAGTTACACCCTCAAAATGAAATAACACAAAACAAAAATATGAAGTTATTACCATATTATATTTATGGTTACATATCCAAGAGGAGGTGACAACATTACATTCTTAAAGCTGCAGTAGGTAACTTTTTGTCTCATTTGCTGAAACTTTCACTATATCCTGACAGCAGTACATGAGACAGATAATCTGTGAAACAATCAGGTTCCTCTGGCTCCTCCTAGTGCTCCTAATGACATTTCAATAATCAACCGGGTCTGACTGAAAATAACCAGTCATAGCCAATAAAGCTTAAAACAGACAATATGGAAAAACTCTATTTAGTAGTTGAGGCTCATTCCCAGATCATCAAAGAGCGACGCTTTGGGTTGGTGGCTTGAAGCTTTGGGACCCAAAGCGGCTGTATTTGACGACCAGGAAATGAGACTCAACTACCAAATTCATTTTGAGTCTTTCCATATTCTCTCTTTTAAGCTTCTTAAATGTGAATGTTTTCTGCTTTCTTTAGTTGTCTATGAGAGTAATCTGAATATCTTCGGGCTGTGGACAAAACAAGACATTTGAGGACGTCACCTTGGGCTTTGGGTAACACTGATCAATTGGATCAACTGTCTGATATTTTATGGACCAAACAACAAATCGATTAATACAAAACATTTTTTAAGATTAGTCGATAATGAAAATAATTGTTAGCTGCAGCCCTAAACAAAACAGTAAAATACGAACTAAAGTAAAAAGTACAGCCCAACCAATACAATATCAATATTTGTGAGTCTAAGAAATCTAATATCGTTATATATTTGCTGATGGTAATTTTTTAAATCATAAACAACAATCTTGATATGGATGCCAGGGATTAGGCTTCTTTTATTGTGACCAATATACATACTGAGCTGAGCATTTAACAGTGTTGTTTGCCATTTCTATACTGCAGTTTCCTTTTACTTACTAATGGGAACATAATCACTGAAATGGCAAATGTTTTTATTCCTTATTTTCTTGGGCGTAAGCAGATACTATAGAAGTTTATTTGAAAAATATGTTTCCATCCCACTTCTTCTCTTTTTTGATAGTTTTCCAACTCTGTCTATTTTGTTATATTTTGTGGATTTTTTTCTAAACTTCTCGCAATTCCCTTTTTTTAAAATTTCAAACTGACAATGCGTGAACTAATCTATGGTCAGTTCATGTTGGTATATGGACAGCATTTCAGACCATCTGTGTTCTGTGTTGTGAAGGCATCTTATGACTTACCTCCATCCGGTTTGACGAGCAAAACAGGGCGATCCTTCCTCTCCTCCTCTTTCTCCGTCACCTCTTTCTGGTCTTCGATGTGAAGGTTAAACAGCCTCTGACCTGGCTTTCTGCTGGGCTCCCTCTCATCCAGAGTGACTGGCGGCTGGGTGGTGGTGGTGGTGGTGGTGGTAATGAAAGGGGCCTCTGGGGTTGTCAGGTACTCAGGCCTCCTGGAGGAAATGGTTCTGGACTCGGGTGTGGTCTTTTCGTAGCTGTTGGTTGGATTGCTGCTTTCTGACCCCTCTTGGTTTCTCTCTTGTTGTGCTGATTTTATCTTGTAGGGCATGTCCCCTCCTTCAGGCCCAGTGACACTATGAAATGTTACTATTTCTTCCTCCTCTTCCTTTTCCATTTGTTCTTCATCCATCGCTTCTGCACTGTCCGGTACAACTGTCCCCTGTGAACTTGCCTGGCCATGGATTGGGCTATCTGGGCTTCTAAGCATGTATAGTGGAAAATTCACTCTATCTGATGGTCTCTGCTGATTGGTTTGACTGTCTGCACCTTTACCTGCTTGACTAACACTGATCTTACTTGCTGAACCTCTGGGTGTCACACCATCTGATGCATTTTGGTGATATGTCTTCGACTCAGAGCCTCTCCCGTGATGAACTGCACTCTCTGAAGTCACATAGTCGGGGTATTTTTCACCCACTAATCCTCGGTTTAGTGGAAATATGACACTATCTGAACTTTTGAGTGCATGCAACGGATTCTCGAAATCTGTCTGTGTAGTCATATCATTGAATGTGACACTTTGCACACTTGTTAGACCCTGTGAAGGCTGCCAAGAAGTAGTGGTGTCTTTGTGCATATGTGGCCTGACAGTGCTTTGCTCTACTCTCTGGGGACTCTCTGTCACTTCCTCTCTGTCTGCAGGATTGTCATGAACTCCGTATCGCTCTCTCAGCTCAAGCTTGCTTCGTCTGCCAAAGCTCTGAAGGCCAGAGGTTCTGTCAGGTCTGTCCAAGCCTCGGGACACAGAGATGACCTTCCTGGAGGAGGAGGACTGGGTGGGGAAGACCAGAGATTGAGGGTAGGTCTCCGGAAAGTCTGTAGGACCGTAATCATAATCTACTGGCTCTTCCTTATCCAAAGGCAATCTGAAGAGGGGAAGATTCCCATTAGGAGGAAGGCGATGCGGTGTGGAGAACTGATCTGTGCGCCCTTGCTGGTCAAACCTGTAGGGGTACCTGTTGCCCCTGTTGGCTGTGTCCTCCACTGTTGGTGCAGCTAACATTGGTTTATGGACATTGTGTGGATCACAGTCTGGCACAGGGTAGCATATTAGCTTCCCCCCTTCATTGGGGCAGTGGCAGACCCGACAGGAGTCAATGTGGAAGGAGTGTCCGGCCTCATACTTTTGCCCATCATGAACACATCCTACGCGTTCACACTGCATGCAACCGTCTGCAGGTTCTGAGACCTCGATGCAGTTTGGCGGCATATCAGGACAGCTGATGAAGTGGCAGCTGATCCGACCCCCTCCGGCGGGGCAGGAGCATTCGGTGCTACCATAGTCAACAAAGTAAGAGTCTCCCTCTGGCACCTTGCCATTCTTGAATCCAGCGTTGATGCAATCGTAGTATTGGTAACCCTCGCATGTGCATCCTTTTTGCAGGCAGGAAGCACAACAGGCACCGCTCTCCAACGCTTCTTCGATACAGTTGTCCAGCTGGGGACAGTCCACGCCGGTGCAGTCACGCTGGCACAAGCAGACACTCAAGCAGAGAAAGAGAAATGTACACCTCAGCAGTGTCACTTGAGCTATTAGAAGACCAGCCATGGCTCCAGGTGTATGTACAACAACGGAGATCAGGTATCTTCCACAGTCTTTAGTGTGTCTTCAAGGATTCTGGCACATTCTGCCCATGTGAACCAACTCTACTCTGCAAGAAAGAGAGACAGACAGGCAGACAAGGGCTTATTTCTCAAAATGAAAGCAGACCAACATCTGGCTCCATAGTTGAGCTCACAAGAGTCCACTTTACAGCCTCATAGCTGTCCTAACATTAAGGCTACGTGCTCCTCATTAACATCAGCTGCAGCACAGTGTTTTGAATCATTATGCAGGCTGTCATGATGAAACTTGGAACCCGCCCAAGTCTTACATTTCTACCCCGTCTCTGATTATCTCCATAGGAAAAATTGCCATAACAATCTTGTGCTGCAATCAACCCTAAAGTCTAACTGCTGAACATAGAGACTTCATAACGCTTTAGCAGTTGAGTGTGTTGGAAATTGATTACACTTTCTGGAAAGTGCATTCTCTGAAGTAATTAGAGGAGCAGGGACCAAAGTCTCCTCTGACTAATGATTCTTGTCCTAAACGATGTGTTTAATAAGAGTTGCAGTTTCAGACTCAAAGTTTCACATAATGTTTCAGTCTGGAGTCAGTTCATTAGTTCATTTCAGTGAAACAGAAATTAAAGATAGTAATGAGTAAAATCATTAACTGTTTTGATCATTCTGTAAAATAGAATCAACAAAGCTTCAGATTTGACACAAATTCCTTCTGTTCCACACGCCACGCCAAAATATTTTTGGACAGATCTAATACATCATCAGAGACACTAAGCGTATTTTCCCATGGCAGTGGACGCTGACTAACCTGTAGGTTACAGGCTTGTACATCAAACTCAAACTGCTGTATTCCTGCCCTGATTTTCACGGAGTATCTATGAAGTGCTGAATTTAACACTGATTTGTCACAAATGCTGCTGCCAAGAGTCAGTAAATCTGCTCTAAATAAGGACAGTTATCCACATCATCTGCGAGCTCAGTCATGAGCTTCACATTTAAAGAGGGAACCAGACGGTGACCTTAACAGCTTGGGAGTAGTTCGCACATTTCACTCAGAAGTGCAATATATTAAAAACTGCTTTTGTTACCTTTGCTACTTTGCTAACCCTAACCCTATGAACGGCCCCATATATATCCACATTGCCAGCTCTACCTTTGCCATTCTTTATATAATACAAAGACAGATAGACAGATAGATAGATAGATAGATAGATAGATAGATAGATAGATAGATAGATACTTTATTTATCCTGAGGGAAACTCAATTATCCAGTAGCAGCATACAAACATACATTAGACATACATTAAACATGCATTAAAATTAAAATTAACATTCAAATTAAAACAGTGCAAGAAATACAAACTCCTCAACAACTTGACACCTCACACTTGTAGTTAACCTTTTCTATTTCTTTTATTTTAATACATTTCATTTGCAAGCCAACTGTAAGGCTTTGTTTGTCTGCTCATGTTTCAGGTTCTCTAAACCAGCCTTGAACTTCGGTAAAATGATAAAAAGTTAATGTAAAACAAGTGTGTTTAGTTCTAAAAGCCTTCACAAACTCTATCATACAGTGTTTTTTCTGGAGCTTCCCATACCATCTAAATAAAAAGGCTGGTTTTGATATTTGACAGTGTCGAAGCCAAGCAGTTTGCACCACAAAACGCAATCTATGAAGCAGAGAAAAAGAATGAAAAAAAAAGAGTTGAATAATTGGAATTTTTTTCTCTAAACTTCCACAGTTGAAGCTCCTATGACAGCCTCCCCGGGGCGATAACTAGCCCCAGCCCGCCCCCCAAAGGCCTCTGCCGCTAAAGTGAGCTTATTTCCAGCCTGAGGAGTGTGAGGATCACAGCAGTTCTGTCACTGGATGTGACACGCAGTGTGTTACTGTACTAGACAGAATAAAAGCTGGAGAGGCAAAGCTGCAAAAGAATGCAAACTGAGTGGTCTCCACAGCCTGGTGTTTCCCAGAGTAGTGAGGGATGGGGGATTCCTCTGTTTTCTCTCCTGCACGCACGCACGCACACACACACACACACACACACACACACACACACACACACACACACACACACACACACACTCAGCTGATCTCTAAACAATCCCTGATGTCATGCAGCTCTGCCAACATAGACAACAATAAGAGGATTCTTCACTGTAACAGGACAACTTCTCAGACAGATGCTGAACACCTTTGCATTGCAGGAAAGACTCTCTAACTTACTCTGGAATACATACAGGGAGATTATAACATACAGGGGTATATTAAAGATAGAGTTAAATACTAAGATTGCTTTATGGTTGTTTATTGTAGACAATAGCAACACAGATATTATAAAGGCTTAATAAGTCTTCTGGAGTTTCATTTATCACACTATGCAATTAGCAACATTAAAGTATTCAGTCTTTAAGTAACAGTTTGCAACACCAGATTAGACGCAGACACAAAACAATCCAAACAGACTTTTCCTCTTCAGTGAGTGTTGTGCACACACTGCAGTGCGACCTGTCACACTTTCCACCTGATAACTGGAAAAACATACCCAGCTTTAGCACTCACTGCGAGATTGCATTCAGCAGCAATGCATTAATCGATCAAAGTAAAGTTTTAAAAGGAATCCGTAGTGAGCGACTCAAAACTTCTTACCACAACTTCCACGGATTCCTCTGTGTGTTTTAATCAGGCGGACAGTGTCGGTGGAACTCTGCGGACACATTTGACGGTTTAACGAGTGAAGCAGTCGGTAGACACCGGGTTGTGTTACCTTGTGTACGGACTGATGGGCTGCAGAGCCGCCGGCTGCCGGTCCTCCGAGCGCCGCAAGTGTGAACCTTTTGACCATCGCAGCGCTGCTGGGACCACGCAGGAGGAGGAGGAGGAGGAGGAGGAGGAGGGGGCAGGGAGGGAGGGAGGGGGAGGTGCGAAAAGTTTCCCCTGCCAGAGACTCCGGAGGAGATCCCAACTGCTGGCAGGGCCGGCCCACAGAGTTCAACAGGTAGGAGGAAGAGGAGGCTCATGGGCAATTGAAAAAGTTACCACTTCTACCAATGAGAGAGATAAGTGTCTATAATGAGAAACTTTCTCAAAATGTTGACTGAACAGCTCAAAATGATGACAATGTCATCAGAATCTTTTTGTTTCGTCACATTGGCACTAAGTCATTATTTGCTGCTTATTTAAAATATTGAAATACTAAATTAAAATATTGATCAAGTTTTACATTTTTCAGAGATACTAAGTCAAAATATTGATCATTCATCATTATTCTGACACACTAAGTCAACATTTTGAGAAGGTTTCTCATAATAATGACTTACAGAATCCCTTTTCCCCATCACATTGGTGGAAACGGGCTTCCATAAGTTAGTGATGCAAAGAAATGTTTGTAAAGATATTTTTTTTATTGCAATATAATTTATTTACATAACAGAAAACAGTCTAACATACAAAACCTATCCATGTTCTTAGTGACAACAGAAGATGAAGATTATGAGACAGGAAATGCATTCAGTGTCATTCACAGCACTTTATAGCAACAGTTGGGAAATCTGGATTTAAAAAAATACAACAAAAAAGGCAAATATGAATCATGGAATAAAACCAAATATACAATAAGACATACCTGATAAACAAACTGAGAAACAGAACCGCTCCAGCTCCTACACAAATAAATATAGGCCAGAAGACGAAAGTTAGTATAGTTTGCCAGAATTATAAGCAGCACTCAACAACTGTTTGGTTGGGTTAGGGGTTAGTTGGTTGGTTGAAATCAAGAAATTGACAGGCGAAGACATTATTTTGTAGGAAACTAAAAGAGTTATTAGTCATAGAAAATATGAGGAATAATAGGATGGATCCATCCAGTCAAAAATAAACTATAACCAGATACAAGAGGCACACATGAACTTGTTACATATGCTATGTATAGCTTCATGGATAGTTCCATATTTTCCTTCTCACTTTCTCGCTGAGACTTACAGTATATAGTCCATTAAAGGAACAGTGGCATCTAGTGGCAAATTTGCAAATTGCAACCATTTGAATACAGCTCAGTCTTCCAAGCATGTAGGAGAAACTACATTGGCCACAAAAGACGCAAAAGGCCCTAACTAGTGCCCAGGTTTGGTTTGTCTGTTCTGGGCTAATGTAGAAACATGGTGGTTTAACATGGAGGACTCCAGAGTAGAAGAGCTGCTCCCTCTGTAGATAAAAACAGCTCATTGTAATGTAAAGGAAACACAAGGATTATGTGTCTAGAGGGGTGGCCAAATTAACACATTACACAATATAACACATTTAATTTGGAAAATTAAGGAATTAATTAAATGATCTGTTATGGCCACATTTTAAGTGATAGGCTTAAATTCAATGACGTGTTTTGAAAAATGTCTGAATGAAGATTTATAAATAAGCGATTTATTAACCTGCAGATATTTCTATTCAATGCCACAATAATGATTTGGGAGATTTTCCAAGCAAATATTGATTTGTTTGATTGTTTATGATTAAATCTGAATATTTTTCTGCCACCCATTAAAGGGCCTGTCCTCACGAATACGTTTTTCTCGATTCCAGATAAATAATTTATCGGATCGGCCTCGCGTCCAGACGGATACGGCGTTTTCAGGGTGTGAAAACTGTATTTTTTGGAAACGGGTCCCAGAGTGGGAAAATCCGAAAACACCGGATTGCCCGGAGTCGTCTGGACAGCGAAAACGGATTAGCCCCGCCTCTCTAGCCTTTAACCTCAGCCGCCGCCGCTAGACGCGTCATAACAACAACAACAACAATGGCGGACTACTACTACTCGTTTGTAAACAGCGCTTGCTCCATGGCTTCTCTTCCGGTATTAGTGTATTGGTGTGGCGGCGTCACAGCGCCACATACAGGCCTGGCATATGTACTACAGCGTTTTGGGTCGTTTCAGTGAATCCGTGTGGACGCAGATATTTCTGGAAACGATGCCGTGTTTACAGAGATTTTTTCTAAACAACATCGTATTGGGTGAGGACAGGCCCAAAGTCTCCATGCCACCCCATGAATATTCTCTAGATCCGCCCCTGCCTCAGAGGCTTTGGAAAGAGCCAGGCTAAATGTTTCCAATTTGCTTTCAGTCTTTATCCTAAGAAAGGCTAATCAGTTCCCAGCTCCAGCTCTGTAATAACACAAAAACCTCAGAGTGGTTTCTATCTTCCAACACTCCGCAAGAAAGAAAGAAAATAAAGAAATAGGTGAGCATGAAGCGTGTGTAAAAATCAGGTTTCCCTCTTAGAATTCCACGTACACCACTGTGTTCACCTACTTTCAACTCACATAAGGCTTATATCAGCCCAGAAAGAAAGATAAGGTTGAGGTTATTATTCCACTCTATTTGTCTTCTCATATTTATGTTACTGTAGTAGTCGTACTGTATAACCAGAGTTACTGTGCGGTTGTATATTTCCTTTAGAGCCACGTTGTTGGCCCCCAGGGTAAACTAAAGCTGCTGTCCACTGCTGTGTTTTAAGGATCTTGCGTGTTCCTCTTAAATGGAAGGCCGTAACCTTGGCTAAACACAAGCTCACATCATTACTCATGCTGCAGTCTGTCAGTGTCCTGCCGCGCTCAGTCCATACGTGACACAAGGCCATAGGCTATCTCAACTATTCACAAAAGACCAGATCTTCAAATCCTGGCCTGTTTTTAATTACCACACTGATCCCTACCTGCTCGCTGGAGGGATTTAGATGCATGTCATTAAAGCGAGCACGTCTTTAAATTCACATGTGGCATAGAAATCATTCATCCTCAGTCATTTTCATACATTTTCACCTTCTGGAGGGAGTGACCGTGCAGCAGCAAATGGCAGAAGACACTTTACAGCTTGAGACCAATCTACGACACCCCTTATTTTCTTTGAAGTGGCCCCTTTGGAGAGTGGGGGGGGGGCATCGTAAATTTGGTCCAACACAGCACCTCCAGAGGACGTCTGAGTTCAAAGAGTGCCTGGAGTGTTGTTTGGAATAAAATGTGGCATGCTGGATGTTTGAACGGACTCACTCATCGTGCTGGAGCGCAGTGGTCCGGTCAGCAGTCTGGACCCCTCCCAGCAGCCCGTATAAAGGTCCTAATGAGGAGCTGTCAGAGCCTGGGGTGAAGCGGTGGTCGGTGCTGTGATAAACAGATCGGCTCTGATCACAGATAAGACCACTGCCAGGGGAGTGGGCCGGCTTTCAACTAGAGATGAGAGATGAGGTAAAACAATAGAGGACTCACATTCAAAGTGTTTCAGGGCTGGGTCAGTGGAAGGACATGTCAGAACTCGCTTGTAGGCCTACATTTCTTTATTGAATCTACTGTAGTGTGAACCAGCTGCCTTACTCTTCACATATAAAAATAGGCTGTGACAGTGCGGCTCCCTGGAGTTAAGTGCAATTTTTGTCTGAAGTCGCGCAGATGCCACAGCGTAGGATAACGAGATCAGAGAGGGGTTGCCATGGTGGAGCGAACAAACTTGGGTTTTGCATAACAGGATCAGGCTCAGCCCCGCTATAAAACACTGAGTGGGACTCGCCAACGCATGGGTGAGATTTGTGGAATCCCAGTGTGATCTCCGGGGGAAAGCCGTCATTCGCAGAAGAGGCTTTGAAATAGCCGGGGAGGCCTCAGGGAGTCAGGCTTCATGTGTGGGGTCAGTGGGGAGCATCTGGCTCAAGACTCACATCTGTCCCTCTCCTATGGTTTACTGAAGAGAGGCTTGGCAGAGGCCTTGCAAACGGCTTTACCATCATCTGGTCTGGGCCCATTTTTGAGTTTCACTTGGAAATTGGTTGCCAGTAATGTATCAGTACTGTAAATGACATATAAGTGAAACATGCTGTACCTATGTAAGGACTCTGTATAAGAGTTCAGTACATTTATATGAAGATGTGATAGGAAAATAGAATGGCCTTAAGGTAGCTTTCCAGTTTTGGCTTGAAATTTAGATTACTATCACCATCTTCTCCAAAACAGCTGGAGCTGGAGGAAAGTGAGGTCATGTTACATATTATGTGCAAGATGTACTTGAAGATAGTCCATCCATCCTTTATCTACAACCGCTTATCCTTGGGAGGGTTGCAGGGGGCTGGAGCCAATCCCAGCTGACATTGGGTAAGACGCGGGGTACACCCTCATTTGAGTAGCTGGAATGAATGTTACCTCCCAAATAAAAAGTTCTGGGAGTACACAAGTCAGCAGAGAACAACATTGCCAAGACACTTAAAAAAGGAACCTCAAAAGGCATATGAGACTGTCACAGTGCCGGCAGAGGAACTCCTGGCAAGAACTTTCAGAGAGTGTGTGCCAAGAGGTTATCATGTCCTCAGAGCTAGGTTGGAAATGCGGCGTAGGCATCAGGATACAGAGTCTGACACTTGACTGCTTTCATCATAATGATTACTCATCATTGTTACTCTTTTAAAAGTAATATTATTACTATACTCAATACTCCCTGCCAACAGTAATTGGTTACACTACTAGTTATATTCTGCTACTCCACACAAAATTGGTCATTGTGTCCTTTCTCCCCAAATTCAAACTTATGACGATAAAAATCCATTTTTTTTTCTTTTTGGTTGAAATCAAAGTAATGGAATAATTCCAGCTGCAATGTTTCCATCTTCCAAACTAGTTTCCTCCATGATTACAAAAATGAATCCAAGGATGTGATTGGACCAGTAGGCGGTGCCAACAAAAATAATTAAGTAACTAATTAATTTTGGGGGCACACATGTGATATTGAAAAAGAAGAAGAAAAAGATATACTTTATTAATCCCCTAGGGGAAATTGTTCTTTTTTTTAATACACACACACACAC